GTCCCCCCCCCCCCCCCCCCCCCCCCTTTACAGTGTCCTGTGGCAGCAAGTTAACCCTCTGTTGTGTGACAAGAGTTTTTATATTTTGCTTACATTGCACCTTAAAATTTCATTTGATTCCAATTATTTCTTGTATTGTGAGAATGAGTGTTCATTCCATGTTCAGCTCCTCCAGCTCATGTGCTTTTATAAGTCTCAGATGTTCCCTGCTGTCAGGCTTTTTTTGTGTAGTGAAAAGCCTTGGTCTATGTGAAACCACTTTTATGAGAGCACTCCGTGTAGATGATGGTGCTAGCAGTGTGTCATCTGAATTAACTGCCAGGAAGATAAAATGACTCATGTTAGCCTTGCCTGGTTCGTCTTTGTCCTGTGGCCAAACTTTCAGAGGAGGCATTAGCTAAGGTCTTAATAGAAGACCTTATGCAGTTAGCTCCAGTGGATCTGCAGATACTTATCTCCTAGGCTTTCCATGGCTTAAGCAGTTGTAAATTATCTTTTCAGGTCTGCCTCACACAAATGGCAAAGCATGCTAAAATCTCCCTGTTCTGCTTGCTTTCTGGAAAGCAGCGTGTTTGCATAGCTCTTGAGGAACTTGAACGGGTGATGGGATGCCTTGCGCTAATGTCCTGTCCTTGCAGGTGCAGCACCTGGATGCGCTGAGCGGGGAGGATCTGCTGCTGACGGGCGAGGTGAGCTGGCGGCCGCTCGTGGAGAGCAACGCCCGCAGTATCCTCAAGCCCCTTTCCCCTGTTTACAATGATGAAGGACTCTGAGAGCACCGGCGCCTGACACTTCAATCAATTTGTCAGATCCGCCTGGGAAGCAGGCTGGAAATTGAACTGGACTGAAGCTGTGGGGTCAGGAAGGAAAATCTGCTGTTGAAAAAAAAAAAAATATTTAATTAGATATCCTATCCGTGGTGACTCAGTAGCAAATTGGACAGCCATACTCTTCCGAATATTCACCCGCAAATAACACTAGTTGGTTTCAGAACCTCTGTCCTTTTTATGGCACTCAGTGTTCCTTGCTGACAAATTGAAAGACTTGCCTTCTGTCTTTAGGAAACCAGATATTTTACCATGACTTAGAGTTATCTCAAGAATACATTTCTGTCCTTTGCCTCATTTGGAGAGCTGCTGCATAGAGATACAATGGTGTTCCTCTGCTCACTGTGCGGTTGTGAATGCAAATCTGAGCTTTGCATATTAGATGTTAATGTATTTTAAAAGCCTGATACCAAGATGGAATGGTCCATTTTTGCTTTAGTGGATTTAAGAATTGCTTTAACAGATTCTGAAGGGTTTTCTGTGAAAATCCTTTTTAGGAACTCTCTGCTCTGTTGCACAAGGATAGGAGGATGCGAAGACTAATGCACAGTCCCTGTTAATCCTCTATGACTCTAGCCATCTTAATGAGAGTTGAGTCCAAACTGTGGCTGGGTTGTCACTAAAAACTGCCTTGGAGTCCTTGGTATTTCAGTCTGCCTTGCTGATACTTCCGTGTTCTTTTTAGAGTTGTGGTCTAAGAATTTCTTTATGAAAAGAACATCCCTGTTTCTGTCCATGGCTCTTAATGAGAAAGACAGAATCAGAATCATTAATCAGAAATGACAGAATGCTATCCCTATCCTCCAGCCCCCCAAGCAGCGGTCCAGGGCTTTTTAACAAGACTTATCAACCGCAGTGAAAACTTTATATGGCTGTGCAGGCAACTTATGCCAACAGAGTAATTACAGGAGCAAGAGCTCCTCTGATTAAATCAGCAGAGGCTGAGGTGCACGGCATTGGTGGATGGTTCACCGGGCTATTTCTAGGTCAGTGACAAAAACAGTTTTCATTTCTCTCCTGTCTAAAATCCTAGTCAATAATAAATGTCAGTCTGGGTAAAATTGATGTGTATGTGTTTTCTGTGCCATATGAGCTTTTGATAAGAATAAACCCTATAATATCAGGACTTATTCCTAATAAAACTATTAAACAAAATTCAAAGGTGATAATCCTTAATTTGTGAAATTAATCCTTAATTTGTGAATCCTTAATCTGGTGAAAGTGTGACTGTGCCTGGCTGTGACTGTTCTTCCTTCTGAAGTTGCTTTCTTCATATTGTGTGTTTTAGGCAATATTTGACATCCCTTCTCTGTGTGAAGAGCAGTGGGATGCAGAATATAGGCTCTCAAACACTGGCTTTCCTTTTTTTTTTTTTTTTAATCTTCTCTTAGGGAGCCTTCTGTGTATAAAAAAGGCATTTTGTTATTTTTTTCCAAGGCGAACTTCCTCAGTTTAACTTGTTATAAAATGAGTCATGTAAAGAAACCCTCTATGTGTGAGGTGTATCCCTTCTCTGCGAAAACATTACAGACCAAACAACTTGCTTGCAGTTTATTTAAGATGCTTTTGTTGAAAGCTGAGCTAAGCAGAGAAACCTCTTATGTGTGAAGTATTATACAGTGTGTGTGAGATAATAACACCTTGTAATTCATTACAGCTGGGTTGTATTTACATAAAAGAAGGCTGAGCTGTGTAGGAATTTGCTGATTAATTTATTTTTAATGAGAGTGAAGTATACCAAGTACCAAAATAAACTATACTTTGTGTATCTTACTGCTCCTGAAATAGGTGGAAAAATTAATGGTAGATATTTTGGCTCAAAGCTACATACATTAATTCATATACAAAACAGTCATTTAAACTTTAACCCCTTTCCTGCTATGTAATTTAAACCTGCACTCATAGTATCCATGCCATGGGAACATGGGACTGGGAGTACATCACCATCCAACCTGGCGCTGCCCACGGGTCGGAGAGCATGTAGTGTCTGTGGTGCTGATGCTGTGAAGCCAGCAAGCCAGTAGAATTCACAGGACCGCTAGTCTGGAGATGACAATGCCTCTTGTACTCTGAATATGGGAGAGCCATGTGGTCAAAATTGAACCCTTTCCTGTATGGGCAGGAGGCTCCAGAAATCACGGTGCCAGATTGTGGTCATTGGCATCTGCTTTTGCACTTTTTATTAATATGAGAATAAAGACCTATAATCATGGTGCTCTGCTTGTTCCATAAAATGCCTTCAACCACCCTGCTGTTACAGGACTGAGCCAGCAGTCAGGGTGTGTTTTGGACAGAAGTGTGTGGGGCCTGTTAAGAGAATAAGGCAGAAACTGTCTATGAATTAAAAAGGTAATCTGTTAGAGATGAAAAATACACTGGAGGCTACATAGGACAAGAGAAGACTTTGCTTCCCAGCCATTAGTAACTAATCCTGGAGACAGGATTTGGATGTAGAATGTGACCTCTCTTACTCTTGAGAGGTGCGTGCCAATATCCTTTATATAAGACATATTTACAACCAGAATTTAGAGTCCTTGAGAGAGACTACGTTTCCAGTAGCAAAATCTGTGCCTTGTAAGCATTACAGCAGCAATGATTAGCAGTTAAATGTGGTTCCTATGCACAGTACTGCTTCAAGTGCAGCAGAATGTAGGTTTTTTTAACCAAGCATTGTAAAGCCCATATTTTCCCATTTTTGAGATTTTGCAGAGGGAATGATTGAAGGTGTTTTCTTATGGACAGTTCTTTATTTATGCTGCTGGGTTTTTTGAAAGTGGTCTGAGCATGGGCTTGGGGACACTGTATTTTAAGTGACTATATGCATGCGCATTTCTTCTGGATGGAGCCATGTTGAGCACCTAATCATCTAGTCCAATCTCCTATTTCATATATGGAATTAGGACATTGCTTATTATTCCAAAGGACTTGTTCCTCTAACTTTCCCAGATGTCTTAAAATCAAGACATGAGCCTCGAGGAAGCAGTCATTATTTCAGCTAGATCTTGGCTTTCTTGTTTCTGTGAGCAGAAAAGAAGAGCCAACACTCACTGTCTTCCCTTCCTTCTCTGCTGTTTTGCATCAGTGGGAGAGTAGGTGCATGTTTTTGCCCACTGGGTCAAACTTGGGAAGTCTCTTCCTCCAGATTGATGACACATTGAGGGGGGGAGGAAGTAATCTGATAGTGTTCGCTGCCTACTCTGTACTTTAGGTGGTTAAATGTCTTTCTGTGTCATCTTGGCTTCTGTGTTCACACTGCCTTTCTATGTAATGGTTTTCTCCTGCCTCTTTGAACAGCTGAAGTGCTAAGAGCACAGACATCCTTGATGACCTCCGCATTTCCTGTACTCTCCAGGTGCTTAAGCCCTGTTAAAGTGCAGTTAACCACTTCCCAGATTTCTGACTCCTATCCTCACCGTCCACCAAGTGAAGTTTTTAGCCATGCTTCTGCCACACCAAGCCCTCAGGTCAGAATTGCTGCTCCTGACATAGCAGTTGGACTTAACTACTGACCTGTCTCACTTACCCTGCCTTTGGCTTGGCAAATGAGGTAAACAGAAACTGAAGACTGAATAAGAACAAATTTTTCCACCAGAGCTTTAAATTATATGAACGTAGAGTAGGTGAAGAATAGCAAAGCCATGGGAGGGTAAGTATCAGCTGGGAGGGGATGGTGGCTGGTTCTGCAAGCATGGTCCCTGTGATGTATGCCACTGGATGACACCGCTCTGAGGAGCAGTGGGAGCCATACCATACCCTGTGACCCACTCATATTTTTCCACACTCTCCTACTTCCAAAACCCTACCGAGGAGGTCTTCCTTCAGAAATTCAAATCAACATAGACCTGGTGCAGTCTGCTTGTAGCATTTCTGCGGGACCAGTTTAATCCTGAGTGTGTAGCAAAAGTGGTCTGCTTCCCAGAGACGTGCTGAAGTACTGCTTGAGCATTTGGGAAAAGTCTGCTGATCCCCTCTACAGGTATGCTGAACAATTCACTGCCCGTCTTGAGCTCCAAAACTGGACTCTGTGTGCTTCCTTCCAGGAAGATGAAAATACCAGTGTTGGGAGTCGTAAATGTTTACATTAATACCTAGAAATTATTGAGTGTCTTTCTACTGCTAATAACTGTGCTGTGAATACAGCGGTCATCTATTGTGATGTTTTCCAACTTCTCAGGCCCCAGTGCGGATGTTTGGTTGTGGTCTTAGGGGTACATGGGGGTTTTTTGGATAATGCTGGTGGCAGCTGATTTCTTAGTGGACACCCCCTGTATAGGCTCCTGCCCTCCCCATCTTCCTCTTCACATTTGCCCCGCATTGTCTGATCTCTGTTGTCTTGTATAATAAACTCTAATCAAGACTTTTTTTCTCTTTTCTCTACAAGAGACTGTGATAAACCTGTGCCCTGTTCTTTCTGCTGAACAGTGCTGTATCAGGCTTGATTGCCCCTTTGGTGTCCTAAGGCTAGATTAACACCTCTTCCAGCAGTCTGGGTGATGGTACGTCTACCACTGCCACATGCCTTAGGGTGCAGTATCTCCATCTTTTGGGCATATTGTGTCTGCCCAGTCTGGCCCTCAGTGCTGTCTGTCTTTTTCTGAAGGTCTGAGAAGTCAAGGGCAGGGCAGAAGCTTACACAGGAGCCTAGAAAAGTTGGCAAGGACATAGGAAAGACCCTGAGGCTCAACGTGAGTGAGTGGTAGGCTCTGCTGCTTAGGCAGTTGTGCTTTGCTTGTGAAGTATCAGCCTCTCTTCTCTCCTGCAAAGGGAATATCGCCCACGGGTGCTGTGGGCTGCCTGGCCTCCTGCACTGTGATGGGGCAGTTGCCTATTAATAGTCTTGTGATCCTTCCCAGACTCCTCTGGTGAGCTTTTTTTTTGCTGCTGACCTTTCTTCAGGTGTTTAGGGCTGTCCCGTACATCCTACATGTGTTCTTCCTGAAGTTGCT